GTGCATCTCAAATTAAAGAAATATAATTAACATTTTTTAAAAATACTTTATTGCTTAATAGCAAGAGAACTTAAAATTCTGAAAGTATACTGAAAATAAAAGCAACATAAATGGCATCTCGTTGATATTGTTAAACACCGTTGTTTTCTCGTACAAGTTACTTTATATATCTCATGTTTGTTATTTTGCTTAGTGCAATAGAGATTAAGGACTTTATTTAAAGTTGTACCAAAAAAAAACTAAAATTTTTTTATTAGTGGAAGTGTTTTTAAAATAAAATAAAATAAACTCATTCTTCTGTGGTTGAAAAACATGTTCAAATTAAAATCATTAACTGCATTTCGTTCTCTACAAAAAATTGCTTTTCTTTTTAGTGATGCTTTTTAATTCATCTAAAAAAACAAAAAAATTGCATTCCAAAAATAAATATATTTAAGCTGATAAATTACCACACAAAATCTGTTATAGAGATTGAGTGAAACTATTTGAAAAAGTTTCCAATATGGGTGGGAGTACATTCAGTCTGGAAAAAGTATAAATGGCCAACGTCAACGCCAGCGTTGCTATCAATAATGTTGCCAACAATTAGTGTCAAAGCCAGAGCAAATGTAAACCATTTGGATATGGATTTTTACATTTTTCACAAAAACTGAAAAACTAGTTTAGTGGATATTTTTTGTTTGTACTTTGTGATCGACAGGACAACGTATAGTAGTTTAAAATTCGATTTTCGCAAAATTTGATTTTTTCCGCTCTTTTTCCGTACACAGCGAGATTTTCGTTTTACCTTAAAAGTGTTTTAAATTGCTTTACTTTCACTGAAAAACCATCAGGAAAAATGAAGTGTTGTATTGATAACATCTTTGAAAATTACTCTAACGTAAATTACAACGGCAGATTACGATTTCCTCACAGAATAGCAATTTTCAGACTGTCCAACTATAAAACATAATTAACGCTAGTAAAGCACAACTTAATGTTATTAGTCTACAATCCAAAATACTAATAATATACCAATATAAAATATGGGTAAACCAGCTAGACAACTATCAGAAACATACTCAGCAGAGAAACCAGTTCTGACCTGATTAAAATGTTAAAAAAACATATCCGTAATCACAAATGGAAAGCTGCATGCGGCTGCACAAAGACCAAACTTATAAGGCGAAGTAACAATGTATCAAGAATAAAAATATGTCTATTTGAAGCAAAACCGAAAAGACAAAATGCTTGACAGTGCAGACAAACCACTGTCCAATGGATACTCCTACTGCGTGAAAGCGGTTACAGTATTCCCGAGATAAGCCATGGCTGTCGTAAGAATGATAGTGAGTGAATTTCACTTACGACACCTAACCGGAGGTGTAAATCTGGTAACACGGGGATCAGAGCCTGCAGCTTTGACTGTTTTGACTAATTGAGATTGACAGTGTTGTAGTGGCTGTGCTTATACCTTTTAGCAAGGGGGAATTTACACCAAACACATAACGTCAATTTGATGCCGCCATTTATCGTCGCATTATCTTAATACATGTATTTTTAAAGCGCTGTGGCTTTGAACCTTCAAGACAGGTACCCACGCTAAACAACACTGGATTCTGTCCAGTGGTTACCTATGCCAAAAAGTATTTCGTGTACCTTTTATCCAGAAATGAGCGATATCGTGGAAAGCCAAAACAAATTAATTGAAAAAATTCTTTGTGAATACCTAAGCCCGGCAAGAATAAATCATTCCATATGGAAGTCTACGAACATGGCATGGGTCAGGTGGGTATCTTAAAAATAAAAGTATGGAATAATAAATTATATTCTTTTTACTTAATTCTTTATTGGACTTCATTTGTTGAAGAGTTCAATGATAGTCGTATATATATTCATACTAATTCTAATACTAATTATTAGAATTTATAAGATTGCACATTTAATTTCTCTCGATTACTTTGCTGATTGCAAAGTAATTAAAGTAGAAACACTTTGTGTTTTAATTATTAAAATAAAGTGTTCATTTATTGCAATTAATAATGAAATCTTATCTTATCCTTAAATTTTAATACTCGTTATTCATTTCAAAATATGCAATAATGCATATTACACTACCTTGTATTCCATACTTTGTTCAATTATATTATAAACTCCCTATTACTTTCTGGTACTTCGTTCTCAAACATAATATTTCCATGGAGCGTAAACCCATTTCACTTACACAATCTAAATTTTGCTAGAATCCTTGTAAGGACACTCAAATATTACAACTCGTTGAATAATGTGAATTTCATGTAATCTTATTAGCTTAAGTTTTATTTAAATTTTCTCTTGTATTTCCATGAATAGAAGTCTGCCAATTTGCATTGAGTCATTTTCCTTAAGATTTCATTCCCTTTAATGCAATTTTCCAAATGATATCCTTGCAGTTGAGTAGGTTAAAAAGCATTTTGAAATATATTTTTGATATAATTTTTTTTCAATTTCTGGTAATAAATATAAGTACACAAAATAATAATAGTACATAAATGCATTATTTCAAAATAATAATTTATAATTGATTTATGCATTTTCGTATATCGCAAAATTTCAATTTCAGCAAACCTTGCATTAATATAAATTCCTTCCTTCACTTCATAAGGAAGCATTTAATTCACAATTTTTAATCTCTAAAATGGTGACCTATTTTGTATTTTCCCTAGAAGCAAAAAAAAAGTAGTGTAAATGATTTATAGATTTAGGAATGCAATTTTTTTTTAAAACTTTATTTCTTTCCTATTTATTTTGCTTCTGCTGACTT